GCCAAACCAATGGCCATTTTGCACTTGCAGGGTTCAAAGTTTAGGAGTGTTCATTGCGATGCAGCACGAGAGTGAGATGAAAAGACGTCAGGATGCCCTGTTCAATCGCTGGACGTACGTAGGTGTCACCCCCAACGGGACAGTAGTCGTTGGCAGTTGGATCGCCTTGGACAACAGAGCAGCCCGTCGCCCAAGTGGGATAACCAGCCAAGCCGCTTTCCGTGCCCACACACCTGCAGGCACACAGGTAAGAAAAGTACGCAGTGTAGCGGCACATTTCACCCACAATTGAAAGACCAGCACAAAACCCACACGCAGGTGAAGTCAAGAAGAGTGAAGCAAAAAAGCGCATCGAGCAGCGGGTTTGTTTGGTACGAACTTGATGGGGCTGGTCATGATCCCCTGTCCGTTGAAGCCCACGACTTGGGGCTGATACTGCTTGAGCAATGCGGCTAGCTGCTGATCCTGATCCGCCGAGACCCCATGATCAAACCAGATTTCAAAGAGCGATCCAAAGCGCGTCCACAGCTCTTTGACGTGCTCAAAGACCAGGATATTGTATTGTTCGTCAGTTAAATCTACTTGGCCTGGTAAGGGGTTGCCAATGCGCTTGAAGCCATCTCGGTTGAGAAAGTAGTTGTTGCCAGTGCTGTAGTAATAGCCATATCCCAGGCCGGCTGCCCCCAAGGTGGAGCTAAATTCGGCAATGACGTCGCGCTGAAAGCTTGGGTAGGAACTGCGTGCCACTGCAAAGGGATACTCCGTTCCATTTGGCAAGGTGGTCGAGGTATTCCAGAGTCAAAAGCCGCAGCCGTGTTTGGCGGTGAGGACGGCGTGCTTGGCACCCACAGCCCGGTAGTTTTCAACCCAATTGGAGATGCTTAGCCGTGTGGGGTCAAAAAGGGAGGCGTGTGAGCTATGGACACCCACATTCCAGTTGGTGGGGTTGCAAGCTGGATCGCCGTCCTCCACAAAAGTAGCCATGTTAAAGTGTGTCAACTACCATGCGATCAAGCAACGCCGCCAAGTCAAGACGTAAGCCAGAGCGGGGCAGGTCTTGGGTAAGCGGAGAAAAAAGAGTCGTTCAAAAGCAAGCGGCGAGCACACAGAAGGCAGGATCTGCAGCGATATTCCTCATGAAAAGATCAAGGTCAATGCAATAGTTTCGGCGTCAAACTTACGCCCATAATCTCATGACGCTGATATGCGGCTTGTTCAGGGGTAGGAACGGGGACTTGGTTCGTGGCGCATGGCATTTTGCTCCATTCGGCGCGACAGGCAGCCTGCGTTTCGTGGCGCTGGACTGTCACGCACCACGGGTCAAGCCAGCCCTCGGCGCCGCGGGGCTGCACTCCAGTGAGCGCTCTATCACACACGTATTGTGTGACAGTGGCCCGGCCCTTTGGACAGGTCTACCCAATCAATCGAGCAAAAGTTGATTCAATATTCACAAGATCAAGATCGTGAGTTTAGTCGCGTGCTCCCACCAGCGCGAAATGCCATAAGCAGGGCTTACCGCTGTCACAGGATGACGCTGAACCACGGCCAAGCCGGCTCGATGGTCATCAATGGCCACAATCTGTGTTTCTTGGGAAGCCACCCAACCCTTGAGCTGGGGCAGCTCTGGGAACCGATAGCTTCCCATGCCCCGTTCATCGAGGACGCAAGGCATATCCGCCGCCGCGCATGGCAACTGTCTGACGAGACACAACGCCAATACCCCCAGTAGGAGCGCTTGCACGGGCACTATCCCGCCCATGTTTTTGGTGGCACGGGCAGACAGATCAAACACAAACAAATGTGTGAGGCGCAGTCAAAATTCCTAGTACATGTAACTTGTTTTTCTGACGAATGGAGTTAGCAGCATGACCATGAGCGTTGGTGAGGTGAGAGGAGCTTCCAAAAACACCAAACTTGTGACGCGCCACGACGCTGCCACGACGACTGCCAAAACAGTCTGACATTTTCATTTCGTTCGCGTTCTCGAGTTACAGCTGAATCTTTGACGAGTCAGCTCGCATGCATCAAACAACCATAACTTGTCTCAGACAACAAGCGCAGAAAAAATTTTTTCTTCTCCAGATGCGCAAAGCCCAGCTCTTCAAAAGTCGTTTGCAGGTGTTTTTGGCTTGTTTGGGAAAGAAACCGAGTCTGACAAAAACAAGTTATTGACTGCGCCTCACGCGCCATGATGACAACCATATAACACACATCAACGGCTGACAAAAATTCTGACAAAAATTCTGACAACGAACAAGTCATTTGTCACTGACTTCGCTCGCGGAAGGTCCGCGGTTCCTCCCCGCGCTCCTGTTGACGCGATGGCGGTCGGGCTGCCTGCGGGCCTGGCGCGGGGGTCATGGCGGCGCTATGGGACCGTCGTAATGGTACTGAATGTATTTATGTTGCTGATCCTTGCTTGGTACCGCCGACACCGCTCCAGCATTTCCAATGAAGAGGTAGGTGCGGGTCGCTCGTGGGCTCAATATCCCGTTGCGCCCTGACCCAGGTGTGTCCTCGCTGCTAGGTCTCTGCGGGCCAAGAGCCCGTTGTTGCTTTCGAGAGCATAGGAGCCCCGCCTTGTAATCGAGGAAGCTGGTCGTCATGGTCAACTTGCCAAGTTCACCCACTCGGCTACTGTCATCGGTGCGAGCTTTTCATCCATCTCAACTCAACTCGATACTTTTCCAGACTGATCCTCATGTTGAACTTCCATGGCCCTCCATGGCTCCCGCTGGTCACAGGATGCGGCACCGCGTGGCATCTGGAGCGGTAGCAAAGGACATTTGTCAGCCGACCACGTGGGATGAGCGCTGCCACTGCCCCAAGAACAATGTGTCCGTTCATTCCGACGAGCCACATGCCACCGCTCAAGCATCTGCGCGAGACCCGGCCGTTGGCGCGTGTGCCGTCTCCATGTGGTCTGCTTGGTCCGCATGCTCTGCAACCTGCGGCCGAGGTGGGTCAGAATTCGGCTCCTGCTGCCATCATCCAGATGATCCCCATTTGTACTTCCTGTCACAAGCTGTTGCGGCTGCTGTTCTCTTGCAGGCGTGGAGCTCCGGACCCGGCACCTGTTGGGCGCAGCTACAAGCTGTGTACCTTTGCGAGAAACGCGGTCATGTGCAGCCCTTGTTCCATGTCCCCTTCTTACCTGCAGCACAATGGATCAACTCGACCAGGTGGAAGGTGCGGTGGGCGCTGGTGCTCCTATACCGCCCTATCGTCGCCATCGTAGCTGACGTGCTCCATGTCGGCTGCCACCCTCACGTATTTGCTTGCAGACCATTACTTTGCCAAGGGGTATACAAAGACGGCATGGCGCGCTAGTTATCAACACCGTCCCGTGGTGCTGAAGCGACCCCTCAGCTTTGGTCAGGGTGATTTGCAACGCTACTATACAGGCATTCGTGCTGAGGCTCGGTGGCTCACCGAGTTTGCAAGCCATCCAAATTTCATGACCTTTTATGGTCGCTGTGACAAGCAGGTGTGTGAGCCGACTCACACGCGTCTTCTGATCCCATAAACATCACCCTTGTGCTGCTATTATCAGCACGCGGCTGGGCAGCTGATTTCGGCCCACGACCTGTCATTCCCGCAGCCGGACATCCAGGTGGTGGTAGAAGGTGGCCTCATCAAATGGTCCTGGGCTACTCAGGTCGGTTTGGCTAGGCCAAATATGCTCGAGCGTGCAGGGTGCATATTTGGCCAGGGCTTGGCGACCACCGGTCCTCGTGCCTCTGTCGACTTACGGCCTCGCCATCCGTGCCACGTTTGCCTGCAGAGCGGGCTCTCGACGTGTGGCCGGCTTGACCTAGCGCGCCAGCTTCTCGGCCTGCTTCAGTTTCTGGCTGAGAAGAAGCTTTTCCATTGTGATTGGAAATACGACCAAACAGCCATCACCCAATTTGGAGAGCTGCGCATGGTAGACTTGAAGAGTTTATACCACTATGCACCACAAACACAAGGCTATAAAGCTGATCTGCCTTGCAGCCGCCACGACGACTGCAAGCGTTGCCTCAAAATGATGAGTTTTCCATACGAGCAAGCGTGTGACATGAGCACAGGTCCGAGTCTCAAGGCGACAGTTGTGTGATCACTCGACACGTCGTGTGCTCATTATTTTTTATTTTTTTTTATTTTTTATTTTTTTGGGCTATCCTGTTGCACGTCTCGTTAGCACGCTGCGTGGGATTTGGTGAGGACGTTTTGATGGCGGCCACAGCACGATCATTCTTCCCTTCACTTTTCTTTCAGAGCCATGACACTGCTCCCACTTTGGCACAGCCACCGCTTGATCACCGCGCCCATCAGAACATATCTAGGTCTGTTGCCTACGAGCTGGTCGCATGCGGTCATCCAAGTTCGCATGCGCGCGCCTAACGTGTGAACGCGCCCCCTTCATCTCTTGTGGTTTTGCAATGTGTTTTTATCAGTTTGCTTGCGACCGCTCTTCATCAAGCTGCACACCCCGATCCCTCGCAGCGGGTCTCGCGCGCCAAGGTGTGCATCTCAGGCTGAAGCCCGCTCAGGCTTGTGCTGACACCTGTCGATGGGAATCTCATCCCGCGCCCTGGCTCAAATTCCTCCATCTACCATAGGTTCAAGAACTGGTCGCAGAGGAGGCTCTGCGACTGAAGTGTTCGGCGGCCTGGTCCGAAACCGACTTGCAAAGCCTCCGAGATGCTTATCACCAGATGCTTACGACCAGCCGGGAGCGCTGCACCAAGCGCTACTGTTGATGGCGATGCTGACCAGGAGGGGCTGGCATTTGCCCTTCTGTCAATGATCTGGATATGAGTGTCCAGCCTAGAGCAACGCGTCAATTATTCCCGGTGTTTTTTTTTTTTGAAAGTCTCTTTCGTGTCGTGTCGTTCCTTGCGCCGATTGTGCAAGAGGATCAGGCAGCTGATGCTGGACGAGGGGTCCTTATCCGATTTCTGCTTCACCGTTTATCAATTCGATTAGTTATCCAATTAGATTTGGAAAATGGCAGTGAACGGGCGTCCCTTTGTTGACTGCCTCGGAATTTTACTTGCTACATGGGCTGCCCGAGGCTAGCATCAAATCTGGATGCCGGGATCATCGCCAGCTTGAGCCTCTGGATGAGAGAGATGCACAAAGTGGCCCTCAGGGCCTCGCGCCACTTGATCATAAGGCAAGACATGGCCCGATAGCGCCACATAGACGTTGGGGGGTGCCCACTTCAAGGCGCCAAAAGCCAGTCCCAGATTGAAGTCGGCGTCGGTGTCCTTGAAGCGCTCGGGAAGCAGTGCTCCGGTCAGGATCACTGTCTTGTCGATTGGCAGCCGTGCCTTGATGGCGCGCGCTGACTGAACGAGCGTGCTTGTGCCATGCGTCACAATGACATGCTTGCACGGCGTGGTGGCACAGGCTCGGGCCAAGGCCTCGCGGTCAGCGTCGCTCATGTCCAAACTATCCTCTCGGCACACCTCGCTATGCTCCACCACAAAGGCCGGGCGAACTCGCGCCATTACCTCGAGGATGCGACTCGCTGCGATTTGAAACTCATAGCCATGCAGTCGATCCGGA